CCAGGCTGCCCAGGGCAGTGGGGGAGTCCCCATCCCTGGAGGGGTTCAAACACCGTCTGGATGTGGCACGTGGGGACATGGTTTAGCAGGCACAGGGGTGTTGGGGTGATGGTTGGACTTGATGACCTCAGAGGCCTTTCCAACCCTGATGATTCTCTGACTTTATGATTCTTGCCAAAGCACGCAGGAGGCTCCCCCTCCACTCGCCGTTCCAGCTGGCCACGTCTCCTCGCCCCGAGCCGTGGCAGGCCTCCCCCAGGCAGCCGGGCCGCGAGCACCCTGCTCGTGGCAGCCTCCATCCATCTCAACAGCCCCCCAGAGCTGGGGGAGCAACCTCGGCGCTGCCACGCCGAGGGCTTAGGAGAGCCGCACCGCTCCGCCAGGAACGGGCGCGCAACCGTCAACACCCATGGCCTCGTTATAAAGAGTTAATTACTGCAATCAAGGTTCAGGAGGGGGAAAGGAGGAAGCTCACCATGTTGAAGAAGTCCTCGCTTCCGCTGGGCTGGAAGTTCAGGCGAGCGAAAGACAGGACGATGCTGCACAGATTGGGGACCGAGAGCTGCTTGGTGTTGTCCAGGGCATACTGGAAGATAGAGGGGGGGTAAAACCAGGGGTTTAGGTCTGTCCTACACTCAGGAAAAGACTGAAAGCATCAGCCAAGGACACATCCAGCCCCGTGGCACGATGGGAAAACACGAGCGAAAGATCTTTGAGTGCTCCCCTGGGGTTTTATCTCGGCACAAGGGAAAGCTGCGAGCGGAAGCGGAGCTCTGTAATATTCCGGCAGACGCAGAAGTGCCAGTGCATAAACTGGGGCAGAGCTGGGAAGGTGCCCAGGGAGAGAAGCAGCGCTGGCACTCGGGACTGGAGGCCCAGACTGGCCCCAGCTCAGCACGGCTTCCCACCGCTGGCGTTAGCAGAAGAGGAACAACGAGTGCTGTCAGACTCGATTACATCCGCTGGCTGCGCGGGGAAAACAGTGACGACATCCCAGTGAGCATCTCCGGAGAGAGGGGGGGGCAGAAACAGCTCCCATCTCCTGGGAACTGGGCTGGGTCACGGTCGTACTGGTGCCAGCGGGGGCTTCCCCGCCCTTCCCAAGCCCCCTCCTCACCTGCGCAATGGCCTCGAGCAGCGGCAGGCTGAGCCACTTGAGGAGGGCGAAGGATCGGATGCAGCGCGTCACCTCAACGGGCTTCATGGCGGAAACGTGGGGGTGCAGGTCGGTGGCTATCTTCTGGAAGACCTGGGGCTGGTGGAAATTCAGTTTTCCTTAAAGGAGCAAAGAGAAAGCGGCAGCCACTTACACGGAGCTGGAACGGGAGCCGTGGCCTGGACGGGCGGCGGGGGGCACCGGGGAAGCGCCAAGCCGCC